GTGCAGCTTTTTTACATTAGCCCTTCTGAGAGCTCAATAAGGCATATTCTTTAATTATTCAGGTGGAGGAAAAGTGGGTCTTGAAGATAGATGAAGAGGATGTCATCACCCAGGTCAGTGGACTAATATTTGGTTTTTTTTAACCCATTAAGTGATTTATGTTGTTTACATTTTTATTTATCTTGCATGATAGCACATAATCATTTTAGACACAATAATATTTACAGTGGCCAAAAAAGCATTGCTAAATGTGTTTTATTTACATAACCCTGGTAAATCAACATGATGGGTATAACTCATTGTCATTTTTATAGCAGATTTTACAAATTTCTTTTCTTTTTTTCTCGAAAATGTGCTCTACATATTCATTTTATGTTAGAATAAAGTATGTTCTTGAGATCATTGTCCAATGCACTGAATAGCTTCACTACTAACATACGAAGTGGGAAGTACCTAAATGATGCAAAAACCAGTGAGTCAGTGTCAGAATTTTGTCATTGTGGTACGTTTTGACATTTTCCAGTCATGATGTTCAGTAAAGCTGTTGTATCCCCATAGAGTGAAGACCCTAAATGTGTGGAGGAGGCTCAAAAGGAGAACACAATCCTGGAGAGCACTGGTAAAAATGTGTAAACATAAAACAGTCTAAAACAAAGCAATAACTGAAAGTCTCCCATCTTATTTTGTTAAACTTATTTTCAGGATGTCTCAGTTAATAAACTGAAAAATCTTAAACTGAAAGATGTAGAATAAATATTATTGCTAGACTCTGTTAGTAGTCTTGACTAAATATGATAAAATAATAACTCAAGCTGAACTAAAAAAATCTTAAGGTATTTGTGTTTTATGAATTCTAGAGGTGCAGGTGAGCTGTCATGAGGAGATCAATACTTGTGAGGAAGTCACAGAGGTATGTGTGACTCACTGATGATGCTCAACACATTGTGAGCAGGTGACATTTAAAAATATATGACGACTTGACCATTAAAATGCACTATATCTGTTACATATGCCTGTGGTTTGTAGCTTTGTTGTTGTTTGTTGCATCGACTCAAAATATAAAAGCCAAATCAAAGAAAAATTAAGAGAATAAGTGCTCTTTTGAGAAGTTAAAGGAGAAATTATAACATTTTGTATCTGAGCATTCTGAATATTGATATTCTAGCGTTTTTTGGGAGCTGAAACTGAAAAAGTGTTTCAAGAACTGTTTTGTAAAATTGATTGGTTAACTGATGTGCAGGTTTATGGCGAGGTGAGGCTTATCCCCTAATGTTTCCATGACAGATAAAAAAAAAATTAAAATAAAGATCTGGATTTGATTCCAAATGTTGATTTTGTAGCTGTTCATCGAAACTTACTATGAGGTCCAAAGAGATACAAGTTAAGGAAACCATTTATTATACTCAATAAAAGAAATGAAACATTTAATGTATTATTTTTGTGAATCCTTGAGTTAAAGCTGAAAGTCTGCACTATTTACAAAAAACAGTGTTTTTTATCCAGAAATGTGGGGGGTTAACTTTGCCTTTCAGAGCTCTAAATGATAATACTAAAAAGTTAAGCCTCTAATCTGTTCAAAATGCAAAAATGCTGACGGCAGCCGAGTGCTTCAAGTGTACTTAATAATCACTGGCTTTAAGGATCATCTCTCCTCTGTCAGATGGACACTCTGGTGAAGAAGACTTCTTATATGGAGGTGGGGATGAAAAGGACCAGGAGTGGAAGGATCATCAAGCCAACTATGGTCAGTCTAACGTTTAAAACCTATTAGCTACAGGTCCTCGCCTCACTCTATTACAGCTTGACAACCCCCTCCACACTAAAACACTTTGTAACTGCAGAAATTTAAATTGTACTTATGAAGCTCTCCAGAGTTTGTAATGTTTTGAACAGTGGAAGACTAGTTGCCTTTTTTAAGGCAGCAATTACTATATTATCATGTAAACCTGATGTCTTAATCAGGCACATCTTCTTTGGAAATAGATAATAAATATGGGCCCAATAAGGTCATCTCTGCTCATTTATGATGTAATGGTCTTCAAGCACAAAAAGTAAGCACAAAATCAGGCATGAAAATGATCCTGTAGCTGCTTAAGTAGCATTGCTAACATCTTCTGTGATTCTGTAATAATGAAAACTCTTTTATTATACAGACTTTTGTAGATTTTGCAAGGTTGGAAAAGTAAAGTGTGTTTCTCTGCGTTTGTCAGCAGGAGACAAACCTAAGCATGCATGGGCAACAAACAGACTGTAGTTAAATAAATGAAAATAATTTGGTAGTTTATCCAAAACAGTGACCTGTTGTCAAAAGAAATGTAAATGTGGGTGGAAACATGTCCTCACATGACCTATCACTCGGTTCGTAAAAACATGATTTGATTTGTTTGATAATACTGCAGTATTCGTGCATAACCACGATGTGTTCTGCAGATTTAGGAATTATTTCGAAGTGGAAAATGCGTAGGAACCGTTTGTTTCACAGATGAGTCAACACTGGTCGCTTTGGTTTCTCAGAGTGGGATGGTGCCTGTCAGTAGACACATAAAGCCGTGCTTTACTAAATGTCAAATGCATGTTTCTTCTGCTGTTTTCAGGCTTCTCAGTTTCCCACCAGTCAGGAAACGCCGTCCACCGACTTGCCTACAAAGAAACGTAAGTTTAGCGAGCCTAAAGAACACTACTGACATCACAGCCTACTGTTAATCCAGCAGTGATGTTTTTTTCTTTTTTGAATTTCGATTTTGATCACAAGTTCCACAGTTTGATTTTTAGAACGTGTTACTGACTTTTTTTGCCGATGTTTCAGAAACATTTTGAGGTTGTGCCATTACTGTCCGATGGTTAGGTTTGTTGTTTGAATGACATAGTGATCTGAAATACATTGTTAAATGATGTTCATCAGTAATGTTGGAATACCTATGCCCAAAACAGTGTTTGTTACTTTTTAATGGTTGTTTGTTTTATTGTAACCATTATATATGGCCTATGTATAAATCAGTTTGCAAACTTTAATTAAATAGAAAGAGGGCATCAACGTGTAACCTGTGTTTTCAACTTGTTAGTGGAAAGGAGGGCAAGGTACTACAAATTTGGCTGTAAATTATAAAAATGAGTTTTTACACGTAGATATTCTTGCTGTATTTCTAAGTTTGTGCATTTATTTGCTCCATAGTGTAAGGGTTTATACATTTTCCACTGGAGTGACAGAGCTCCAGTTCAGTCCTGGGAATAAATGAAATATGCAGCACTAACTGCTATGTCAATATCTTATGAATAAAATAGGGCATTTTAATTTTTTCAGATGATACATTTTTCATTATTAGGTGTCATAAAAACGCTGTGGTCATTTCTTGATTTGGAAAAAGATGATGTACTCAACCACTAAAGCTTAAGCACTGAACACTTTCAATCCGTCTCTGAAAAAAACCCTGCCTGCCTCTTGGAAAAACAAAACCTCAGTCTTTGAATAGACCCTGAAATGCCACCATTTGCATGCGAGGTGCCTTAAATGAAGCTGTTAAGTGAAAGTGGATTATATCTGTACACAGTGACCTTTGGGCCCAGATAAGGGCCCATCAGCAGCCTCCCGCCCTGCAAGCTGTGTGTTTTTAATCTATTGTTTTTCCCAGAGAGAGGGACATTTGCTGATAGACTGCCTTAACCCACTGCAGATCAATACTGCAGGAAGCCTTTGTGATGCATATCCAAGCAGCCTGCCCCCTCTCCCCACGTCTGCAGCAGGCCAGAGTGGAGAAAGAGAGACTCCATCAAATCAGCCCTCACTTCCTAACTCAGGCATTGTCTTGGTCGTCACATTTATTTCATAGTCTTTGTGTTTTATGGGCATTTCTGAAAACAGAGAAGCATAAAGCAGAATGGACTGGGAAATCCATGGTGGACAATACCCACTCACCGATGCGTTGGTGCTCTTTATGAGCTGTGAAATGAATCAGGGTTACCTAACCTCTCAGCCTGACTTTAGGGCCTTTTTCAGCATTTTTATTATTTTAACAGCAGGAGATTCTCTTGCTGTTGATAAGTGATGAAATGCCTTGACAACAAAGGCTTCTTTACAGGTGTTTTCATGTATTGTTGATAAACAGTATCTCAGTTATAGCAGAGATATTGTTACAAAGAAAAAATGCCTCAAGGCCTGGAAAATAAAATGGCCTGACAAATAAAAATATTGAGAAATTATCTTGTGTGGCACTCAAAGGGGTTAACCTCTGGTGATTCAAGACTTTAATGCTTAGAGACGCAGACACTGTTCACATTTTTGTTAAAATTGTAAGAATGATATAAGGCCATGCTTTAAGGGTTGGTCAGTGTTCCTGTTAGGCACGTTCCAAATATCTAATGATAAAGGGTGGAAAAGAAATCTAAATTGCATTTTTACTTAGATATTAGATGAAACCATCAATCCTTCATTTGATCCTGGGACTCTACATCATTTCTGTACACACACGTCCCACAGAAATGAATTCTGAAATTAAATTCAGAGACACACGTCCAGTGGCCAGTGTTAACAGATCAATCACCTGGTCAAACAGCAGGAGGGGCCCACCGGACGGCTCTGCAAACCAATCACAAATGTGGGTTCGGATTCTCTAAGTCGATAGCTCAGGTCCAGGGCTGCTTATGTACGGTCAAGGCAAGACACACTGACAGGCTGACGGACGGACAGCCGCAGTCCATCCCAGAGCTCCATATAGATTAAAGCCAGCTTCTGTGAGCCTATAGTGGCGTTGCAGTGATTGTGCCTGCAGGGCCTATAGGCCCCAAGGGGAGGCTGGGCTTTACAGCAATGGGGGAGGAGCACAGGATGGAGTGGACATCCAGCCCAGGGACCGTGACCCTTTTGACCTTGCCAGAAGGGCAGCAAATGTTTCCGAGCTGATTAGCGCTTCCCCAGCAGAGTGCCCTGCTCACAGTTAACCCCTTGGAATCAGATAGTTGGCAGAGATATTGGATGAAATCCAGAAAACATGTCGTTCACGTATCTTCTGGAAAACCACATAAAACAGTGAACCAATGTATTTTTGATCACTATAATTAATGTTACTATTAATACTATTACTATTGCTTCACAGTATTTTTCCTTTGCCTTATTTTACTGCCTTTCACCGATTCTCGTAGAAAATTTTGAACTTTGAATTTCCGAATTTGAAAGAGAGTTGCAAACAGGACTTTCCAGCCAGTTTTATTGGTTAATATGATTAAAAATGTATCTTAATATATATTATTGAAATAATTCATTCTGCATAATAAGTAGATACTCACATGCATTCTGCTAAAGCAAAGCAATTTTATAAAATGTAAGATAAAAAGACATTAAAACAAATTAAAGAAACTGAAACAATTAAAAATGCAGATCACTTTGATTTAAAGTGTTACAAATAGATTTAAATAAGCAAATACTCAAAACAACTTTACAAGATGTAAAAAAAAACCCAACAGCCTTAATTTAAAAATGTATTTGTGTTGCACATGTTTACTGTGAATCTCATGTTCATTCTCCCACAGTCTGAAGTAATTCAGTAAAAGTATGAGATGTCCTTTTCCTGTTTTCCTTATGTGTGGCAGAAGGGCAGCGTTGCTGGGTAATCACTGCCCTTCTTCCATAAATAAGATTAACATTACAGGTACAGTGCGGTGGAAAGGATCATCCAATAATAATTTAATCTGATAAATGGTAGTATGTAACAACATTGAAAAAGTTTACATACATATAACCAGGTAACCATATAGACCAACAGTCTCACCATAAAAAGAGTGGACAAATTTAAAAGCAGGAATGATGTATGCTGAATGTCCACAAGGGGGTGATAAGTAGCCATGGACTCTGCTGTACGAATGAGGCCTACATAGATAACTCTGTGCCCTGTGTCTTGGCAGAAAAGCATCTTCTCTCTCATGCACGCCTTAATCAGCTCATGCAGTTTTGCTGCCACACTGTAGACAATTTAAAAAGCATGCGATCCTACTGAACAGCCAGCACAAGGCTATTCAACTTGTCTTTTGAGAGATACTGCAGTGGAGTCAACAGTATTGATCCAAATAAGGAATAATAAAAGGAGGGGAGGCTGAGAGCAGGTGGTAGTGGGCCAGCAGATTCAGGGATTTAGTTGCGCACCGTGTTTGTATGGTCAGCGCTGCTGAGCAGCGAGGGGACCAGTACCTACTCGAAACAGATGCTCAAAGCAATGGGATGTGCCCCCATTGTGATCTGAGTGGACAGCTGAATTGTTTATCACCAAAGGGTCCTTTTCTTCAGTGGAAGACCCGTGCACAATGGAGCCCCCACCGTACTGACATACTGAGGATTTCTGCAGGGTGAAGCATTGAGGTGGGGGGTGAGTAGTTTGTGTGCATTGAGTAATAGGGGGTTTGTAGGGTGAGCCTCTGCCCGTACCTCCTTTTTTCTTTCACTGTGCTCAGATGGACCTCTCTGTGGCCCCCCATCTACTCCATAAAGCCCCCCTAAAGCTACCGCAGGGCAGGGGTTTAAATGTCACGCTTGGCCATCAGAGCGCCCAGCCCCCGGCTCGTGTCTCCTGGGGGAAGCACGCCAAGAGACAGGGTGAGGGAGAGAGGAAAGCTTAGGAGAGGGAGACACTTGCCCTTGCCCCATTGTCCATTATGATAGGCGTGAGCTGGTAACTGACTCCAAATCAAGTGTATCCTCTCACCACGTGCCCTAGCCTTGTCCTGCTTCTGCTCAAACACAAAGGCCCTCTGTGTTTTTATTTTTTCAGCCATCCATAGGTGAATAGCTGCTTTGGTCATGGTATGTCTGAACGAGCAGCTTAAAGGAGGCTGCAGAGTCTAAATTCAGCTGGCCAACGGACTGAATGATAAACACAGTTTGTCACCCCGAGATGCTCGAGATCCATCCACATTGCACTCTGGTGAGCTCTAACATAGCAAAAATCAATGCTAACTTTTTGCGTTCAGTCACATAAGAGGGACTTCAAAACGTTAAAGTGAGTGGAGGGGGTAGACGGAGAGTGGATGAGGTGTGGGGTGACAAAGTGTCAAGCTGAAATACAAGTACAGGACGAAATATACGAGCTGCTGGCCAACTTTATCCCGGCCCAAGGTCCTGGCCCATACCTTATACACACACAAGATTGAGTGTTTTATGTATCTATTTGTTCTAAATAGTGGCACACTTGACCTTGAGGCAAGATGTGTGTGGTTGCAGCTTGGCCCGGGAATCATCCCTCCTGTCAGAGACGGGAGGGAGTGACCTTGAACTGCCGAGGCACAGGCGTAGCTGAGTGCACAAACTCATTTAACTCCTGGGTTTGTTATCGACATGCTGTAATCGTTAACATTATGGATGATGAATAACTACTGACTGCCTTATACCTACGCAATATGTTGC